TGAAACGTCCTAGAACCAACATCTTTACATTCGATGATACCGTACGCATTTGCGACTGCCACGTGTTTCCCACGACGACAAGGGTTGTTGTTAGGACTTTCCATTTGTATAACAGGTAGGTAACTTCTCCTAAACATGAAGCTTATTTATTTTTTTGCTGTCGACTAAATACCCACAGATATTTGGCAACTGCGACTGTGTGAAAAGAACCAAGGCTTTTAGGGATTTTTATGAGTTCCACTCGATGACGCCCACTGGTTGCACCAAAACATCATGCGTTCTGTGATGGCGAGCGAATGCACCAGTCACAACGACATTAAAAAGAAAACAACAATCGGCTTAGACTATGTGGGCTCGAACTAAGATGGGGGCTTCTCAGCTTGAAACTGACAACGGTTACTCTCCATTACAGTCGTGTTCGCTACAACGCGTTACCTTTTCCGGTGAATACTACCGCCAAAAGGCAACAGAATAACAACAACAAAGGTGGAAAAATACAGAAAGTAGTTGTAGATTGGATGATACACGATACCAAGCCTATTAGCGACGAGTAAAAACGAACAACACTTTACGGGGGTTGTGATTATGAGTTATCGGGAGGGAACTGTACATGCATCGCACAAGTATGGAATAAAAAAGAGCAAGAGTGAGACGCATTTACTTCACACGATCACGATAAGTGTTGCCCAGTGTGAGTCGGGGCAAGATTCGCATACACATTAGCTCCTGAAATAGCAGTTTACATGCATAAGGCATTCGGACGGTGACCACCTGACGACTACTGCGACAATACTGGCACCAATTACGGGAAGTGGCCAGCAAACCGCAGTTTTCACAAACACAAGCATCGTAGGCATCGCTGGAAGTGAGAAGTCTTTCGACAAGCAGCTGCGATGTACCGTACGCAATGAAACAATCCCGTTCCATTTCTCCGACACGCAAACCGCCTTCACGACTACGTCCCTCGGTGGGCTGTCTGGTCAGAGCGGTAACGGGTCCTCGAGAACGGGCATGAACCTGAAATTTGACGCGAAGCCGAAAATTAAATGCGTAATGACAGCCTTTTACAATTTGAAGATTTACCAACGGCACTGCATACAAAGTCATCACCGTTATGCCATCAAACCAACAAGTATCTCCTGCATGGAAGGGGAGGGGCTTGACAGCCGAACTCTAATAGAACAGATAGCATTTGGTAGACTGGATAGGGAGTACACTGCAATACGGTTCCAACTAAACAATCTGTGAAATATAGTGCAGACATTTGATGTATTGAATGTATCACTGCACCCACCTTGTCCATGACCATGTGTTTTAGGCGTTGATAATAGACCGGACCAAAGTAGATATACGCCTCTAGCGGAGCACCGGTGACACCGGAGTGTAGTACTTCTTTCCCCAAATAGTGATGGCCATGATCAATGAGTACCTGAGACAATACTTGCGCTGGATCACCGGAAAATGCCGACCCATCGCGGATACGACCCTCGATTGCGCCAGCCTTGCTCCCCAATAACTCGAGTAGCTTGCCGACCTGTGGAAACGACATAAGCATATGAAAAATATCCGTAAAGCGAACAGCCTGAAAGAGACAACATACCACTTAATCACGAGAAGATTAATAAATCCACGTCCCTTTAAATTCTCAACTGAATAAGAACAATGATTCATCGAACACAGGAAAGGTTGCGCGAATGAATTAGGAAACGTTCAACGACTTCAATGGTTTGTTTCTAATTTTCGAAATACTGACAATGTGAACCGATTTCTAAACTTGATGGAAGCAGCAAAGCCTGTCAATGAGCCAAAGACAAAAAGAGCTTAAGCATTTCTAAGAATGACTCCTAGCGTAAAAATCCGATAGTTTACCGTAACAAGACTGCCTTTGCTTCGTTTCAGTGGACCCTTCGCTCGCTCGCGAAAGTTTTAGTTTTTAAAATTATTATTCACGTGCTTTCGAGCGCCAGTCTTTTGTCTCCCATTTGGATAAAACCGCAGAATAAAGATTGGAATGTCGACAGCAAATTCAAAAGGGAAGATAGAAAACTCATGTAGACTAGGGTTGCAAGAATATTGAGTAGATCCACGAGCGCCATTGGTCGCGGCACTCAGCGTCTCAACCACCAGGGAGCCTGGCAGTATCTATCTGACCCAGTTTCCTGGTTCGAGTTTTCATACCTCCATGCCAGGTCTCAGTTTGACCGCCCTTGACCATTTCCCATCCGCTACCCATATATATATAACACCAATCTTTACAGATACGGCGCCAGAATAACCATGGGTTAACGACAAAAATAGGTAAAGAAGCGGGAAAAGTAAAACAGTCAACTGGGGGAGAATAACATTTTTTTGTTTGTTTACCGCACGCAGTTTGAGTTTTTCGTTTTTTTTTTCATTCTTGGGATAGCACACAGGAATAGATGTATTCACGCCACTGGCTTCGGTAGGATGGCATATTCCGCAGTGTCTCCAGCCAGAGACAATCGGAATCTTTGGGGCCCCAGTCGGGCAGCCAGATCCGAGCGCAATCTCTTTAACCCTCTGCACCCAACTCGCTGTTTCTTCCAGCCCGGACCGATGTCTACGAATAATGCACGGTGTAGCAGACGTTGCTCAGACATTTGTAGGACTTAGCCACCTAAGACGATGCTGTGAGATTATTTTGCTCAGCGGAAGACTATCTGATTCTAGCACCCGTCGTCTGACTTCATCGTTATTCACGCGATGCTTCCAACATACGCGGGCGATGTTGCGCAGAAAACAGCTGTCGAAGACGGGTAGTCGTTGGAAGTGATCTCCTCGGAAAGGCCAAATCTCGTAGCCATAGAGCAACACGGTGCGTACCGTTGCGCAAAACACATGCCCTTTCAGTAAATGGGATATATCGCGCCGGTGTCAGAGATGCCACAGATTAGCAAACACTNAAGATCTCGCCCAAACCTCCGCCAGCCGTTATTCAACTCCCAAGGTAGACAAAGCTTTCGACTACTTCCAGGGTGTTATTATCTAACGAAAGTTCAGGAATGTGTTCCTGCCAATCTTGCAACAGCACTTTGCAAAGGACATACCGTAGCGAGTAACCTCAGTTGCCAAACGGTTCAACGACTCTTGAATCGTTGGTACGTTGTCACCTAGTAAGGCAATATCATCGGCATACTCCAAGTCTACAACTATGTCTTCCTGGAAGAAGCTCGACGCCAGCGGTCGTTACGTTATTTACGCGTTTTGTAGAATATCATCTACAGCAAAGTTGAAGAGGAACGGAAAGATAGGGAAACCCTATCGTACCCCACCGGTGACAGGAAATGAGGATGAATGTTCACTTTAGGCCGTAACCTTCCCCGAGGTCTGGTGAGAGGGTTTTTAGGAGTAAAACATACCTCTCGGGTACTCCGCATTTCTGCAAACAGTTCCGCAGTGCGGGGCGATCGATAGTGGAAGGCCGCTCTGATGTCCAAAAACGTGACCATGGTTTGCCGTTTGTATGCGTGGTGGAGGGTGAAGAGCTGATCTATGCAAACACGGCATGCATGAAACCCGGCCTGCTCCTCGTGGATTCGCTTCTCACGAAATGGGCTTAACCTGCGTAATAAAACGGACGCCAGCAGCTTCGGAGCTATGGGAATCAGAATTATGCCCCTGTGATTGAAACGGGCGTTGCGGTAGCCCTTCTTGTACATGAATGTGACAATCGATTCTCCCCGTGTGTGGTACACTTTCAGTTTCTCAGATCTTCGAGAACAGTCTCACAAGTTCTCTCACGAGAGCAAGCCGTCTGATCCAGCCGCCTTGTGGCGTTTTAGGGCTAGGAGTTTCGTTTGGATCTCCGCTTCTGTGGGCGATCCCGTGGATAGTGATCAAGGAGCACTCTCAAGAGAACTGCTAGCGGCAGCCAGTGCGGGAGGGGGGGGGGAGCTGGTTAAACTGCGATGTGAAGTGCTCTGCCCAGCGTCGGTGAAGGCTGTTTATTAGCGTGCCGTCTACTTCGCAGATTGTTTCACTAACTTTTGGGGCCGAACGAGCTGAAATATTTGCCGGGTGTTTCCACACCTAGCTGCTGATTCCATCTCCTTTGCACGTAGCGTCCACCAGGTCTCTCGGTCGTCTCTCAAACTCTTTGCGAGTTCACGTTTCAGGGAGATGCGCTGTTCACTGTACTCGCGGTCTGCCGGCATTGCCCAACGCGCCTTGAGGAGTCTGAGACAGTTGGAGGAGACCGCTGTCTGCCTCGGCGAACTTCGCTCACCTATTTGGTGACATGCACAAAATATGTACCAACCACCGTAGTTTATGGAGGTTCAATAATTGCTCCAGTGGACGACCGCGATTACCTAAAACTCTACCCACAAGGCAGTGGGGTGTAGATCCAACGCGGGAGCACCCATGTGCAAGCTTCGAGAGACATGTCACGCAAGGTTTTTGGGTTTAGGTTCAGTGTGTTGTTCCCTGGTGCGTTGATTGACGGTTTTCGTGATCGTTCGTTCCCCCCATGCACCCAATGAAACAGGTGGAACATGGACGGCATTGGCTGGGGGCTGCCCAGAGTGGGTAAGCGGTAACTGTCCAATGAAGTGCGAAGACTTCTCCTACCATCGAGAGGAAGTTTCCAGATACGTCACTCTTACGTTCATCTAACAGGCATTTTTGATCAGTAAACTGCCCCTCGTGTTTATTTGCTGGAGTGACCTCTCCAGAGGCGTGTGTGGAAAGTCAAAGGAAGACAGGAAGTGTCCGAGCAGCTGGCATTGTGAGAGCCTCGTCTGGCCCCTATTCATTGACCTTTCAAGCATGATTGGATCGATGGCTGTGAGGAGCCTTCCTGTATAGCTCGCAGGATCATGGAGGCATGCAAGCAGTCACACCACGTCAAGGTGCAGTCTCGTCGTCCCTCAAAAGTCGGAAACTAGCACACAGAGAACCCCGAAGAAAAATTTCCAGAGCCCTCAGAAGGCCGTGGAGTTTAGTTTGTTAACTCAATCAAATCCTCTAGAGATCCAAAGCAAAAGGTTCCCTCCATGACAAACGTTTACACTATCTGCGCGAAAATGCGGCTCATAATGTCTTCGTAACCTGTATATTCCACTGAAATAGCTTCAGATAAATCACAATTCTAAAATTTCCAGGGATGCATGGGATGACCTCCAAACATCTCATATATGATCTTGAATGGGTGAAAAGATTACAATATAGGTGACCCAACCAGGTCGAAACAGTTGTACAGTCCTTCCTAGTTTTTCAGTTTACGCTTCATTTACTTTATACACGACTAGTTCCCTCAATGAAATTACAATATATGTTGAATGCATCAATCCCAACAGAGAGATAAAACTTAATGGCCTAATCCCAATGATCCACAGGTATTGTTTAACTGTTTCTCCAGAGCATCCTAATTAGCTAAAAATAAGCGTGGAAAGGAGTAGACCAAAAATCATTCATTTTGTACTGAACAATCAAAAACCATTCACCACAACAGTTCTGCAGTTGGCGGATACAGGTGAAATCAAGGAAAACGAGCACAAAGGAAGGGAACAGAATTATTAACTCAGTTCCAAATACTATCTCTTAATATATTTACATATATGCGTTTTTTTAAAAATTTCCATGACTTAATAAGATCTACAGTTGTCTGCAAATCAGACCGAATGAAAGTCTGAGGAAAAGGAACAACTGATACTGAAAAACATTTTCTAAACTTTGATCGAGACGATTAAAAAAACCTAAACTGGCGGGGGAGTTGATGTTAAAAGGCAACAACTGTTGTGCTTGCCAGTCTATCGGCGAGTGGATCAGTCAGATCGCAGCACTCAATGCGTTACGGTGGATTCGATCAGTCCAGGAACATCGAGAAAGCACTAGCAATAGCCCACAGTGGCGATTGGTTCAAATCCATTTTCCACTGATAGAACGATAATTCTCAGAGAAAAACAACAGTTAGCATCACTATGACGGCCAAGAAGTCACGTCAGAAAACCCACATTATTGAGGGCGACAAACTGGGAGGGACTTACCGTCATTCGACTAGGAAAGCCGTGCGGATTCATAATGACATCCGGAACCAAGCCTTGAGAAGAAAATGGCATATCTTCTTGACGTACAATTAGTCCGACGACGCCTTTTTGACCATGGCGACTGGAGAATTTATCTCCCACCTCCGGACGACGAGTCTGACGAAGGAGCACCTTGACTACAGCCTGATTTCCTTCAGATGTCGAAAACATAACTTTCTCCACATATGATGGTTCTATCCCTTTATAGTCAGCAGGACACCGCTTGAATTCCATCTATCGATTGCGGGGAAGGGTCAAGAAATAAGTAGTCCGATAATATATGCTTGTATGCATGACCTCGACTACTGGTACGACGAAAACGGACTGCATATAGTTTTAGATAATCTGACTGAAAAACTATACAACTGATCAGCAGTATGAAAGAATAGAATTAAGTAATCTGTCGTTTTGCGACGTATACTTTCGAAAACATGTGCCAGCGTTCTAAATTCTAGTAATGATACAGACAAATTCCGATTTTCAAAACAATCGTTTCTCATACAACATTTCAATGACGTACTTCGATCGCCGACTGCACCACTCCATCCTTTCGTATTACGGTAAAGAGCAAGAACAGAAGCACCTAAGGCTGCACTAAATATTCGACAATAAAATGAGAATTTTTTGTATTACACACTTTCGTGTGATGAACAACAGACGGGGAAGGCCCAATAGTTAGTCCATATTTCTACAGAGATCATTAATTGCGACAAGCCTCAATCGAGAAGAATAAAGGCATCATTTTTCATGAAGACTGAAACTCCTCGTTCAATTGCGCCAATATTTCGTCTGTAGTGCTGAAAAATGGCTCAAGTGAGTACCTGTTCGGCTTGAATCAGTACCCATTCTACGTCCGCCGTTAGCGTACATTCGACCTTATATACACTGTGTTATTCAAAACGGGAGATTATGGCTACAATGTGACCTACCAAGGATAGCCACCACGGATTGCATCCCCTCATTAATGTGGATGGATTAAAATAGTTAGGATTGTATTCCTTTCAGTACCACAAAATTCGAGGATCTGATTTCGGTATAAAAAATACTAGCGAACCAAAACCATTAATGTCGTTCGCCACTCATGTTATCGCCCAATATTCACCTTTCAAGTTAGTGCTAGCGTCAATACTTTATCACCAGGGTGAGCACAGCTTCGAACGCTCTCTCATCTCACATCGTTCGTGTGCCAACTGGTAAATCTTCGAAGTGGAGACGCTGGTACACTTGCATTTCAGCACTTATAAACACGCAAGATAGTGATAGAAGGCTGCATAATGTGATATCTCCATACTCGAAACTCTACGTGACGCTGCTCATTTTTCAATAGAAAGAGTAAAATGTGGAAACAGTCTATGGGGCAACAGGAGGATGAGATTGTCAGTAACAACAAAACCTTGACTTTGATCTATAGTACTCACCATAGATTCTGATGAACCCGAATGAAGACCCAGTTGACCAGCGTTATCTTGAACAGCGCCGATTTTGACGACAGGCATCTCTCGATTTACCAGGATTTGACGATCGCTTACTCGAGCACCGATATAAGCAGTTCCATCGGCTTGTAAGAGTTCCTCACCACGGCGGGGTAACCCAGTTTCTGAAAATTAATCGACGACAGAAAAAGACTGACTCAGTTACTATCAGTGAACGAACGCGGAGAAGCAAAGAAAACTCGAAAATAGGTCGAAGAAAACTCACCGCGATCAATACTAGGTCCCATAAGTCGATCATAGACAGCATTCTCGTGCATTTTCAGATGTAAACCTGTCCGTCGATAGATACAAGCACGTGCGAAGCCTCTGTCGAGTGAGGCGCGATTGATGACCAGAGCATCTTCCACATCGTACCCGGAGTAGGACATGATAGCTACAATGGCATTTTGACCGGCAGGTAGCTATTCGGCGGGAGGCGAAACGGAACGAGTGTCACAAAAAGCACATAACTGTCTTTGAGAAAGCCCAAACTTCATTTAAAAAACCCAATACACTTACATAATATTATTGGTTTCATAAACAAGAAGAATTACGGGTGCTGATGGTTTTCAACTCCCCAAAACTTGCAATGCGCTGTGCTTTACAGTGTACAGACTAAAGGAATTAACCTATTCAGCCACCCGATGGTCAATTTGATACGAAACTCGAGCTGTTTTGTTAGGTACTTGGTTCGATTTTCATGGGGTCGATGAACGTTTAAACCTCATGATACTCACTAAAAGTGCAATGCTAACCAGCTTTTTCATTCCAAAGTTTCATTCATTTGTACAACGTGGCCTTCGATTTTGAGTAACAGAAATAACTGTAATTAGGATATCCGATCGGTGTCTGCACCGCATTAAGCGCACAGATGCGCAAGTGCATGCGTGGAACGGAGACATTGTGCGAGTAAGTTTGTGCACCGGAGCTGCGTTCAAACCATCCCGCATAACTGGAATTTCTATCCGTGTCGCTTAAAATGTTTCTATGTAAATATATACATATATTTCGTAATAAGTAGCATATGAATGATTGGAAGAAATTTCCCTGGAAGCACACGACCGGTTTCGCGGTTCTTCCGCTCGTCAGGTATGCGTATCCGGTAATCTTCTGTAAGTTCATTCATATACTTGTACTCAGGAAGCGTACTTTCATCACAATAGCCTCATTTGCAACACCGTGTGACATATATACAGGTCTAATCGAAACGGAAGCAGCGGGTCCCTGTGAAACACTTGTGGGTTCGTACAGGCAATAGCATTTATACTAGAGTAACTTTTTTACTAAATAATAATAAACAAGACTTGGTGAATCTTTGTAGCATTGATTTTCCTGGTTCGCTTATACTCAACAGATGGAATGATTCAGAATCTTGCAGATACTCCCATTTCGTCAGTAGTTGTTGACCTAGACCATGATGAGTTGAGAGGTGACTAAAGACAATGGAACAGTTTTTATTTAAAACAAATTAACATTGATATTAATTAAGATGTAAAATTTATGTACACTAATAGTCTATTGGTCTGTCTTTGTTCTTCAGGACTTTTCGAGTC